AATTTAACAAAAGGGGTAAATGTTGTATTCTATCAAACATCACTATAAATAAACAACAATAAAATTTAATCACAAAGCCAAATTAGAATTAAATGTATAAAAGTATTAAAACTTTTCTGATTCATGATACAATTTCAAACTAAAGCTATCGTAAATCTTACTGAGATTTTCAAACAGCCAAATATATTTTTAGAAAAGGATAATCATTTAATCATTTCTGGCGAGGGTGTGGGGAATGTGGTCATCTCAGCCTCTTATGGGCGATGCACAATGGAATATTTTTGCAGAGTGATGTAGGACAGACAGCCATGTCAAAATTCCTACTAATGCATGCATCCTTTCATCCAGCCACTTCACTGTGATGAACTGATTTTTCGTGGAGGCATGTTTGCGAGGATAAAACTTCATGCAGCTTTGTTTATCATAGCAATTTTTTAAAATAGAAAACAAAGTGTTCCAAAAATAATTGGCTAAGCGCCTTTTGACAAACCCCTTTTCAACAACAACACAAAACTACTACAGCTTACTGACTGTGAAAGCTTCACCTTGGTCTAAAGAAACACAGCAGATGCCAAGTCAACAGCAAGCACAGCGAGGCCGTCCGCAGGGTCAGAGCTCTGACCACCTGTCTTGGTTCTCAATTCAGCCAGCAATTGCCTGTGTGTTTCTGGATGTGGATCTCAGGCCACTCGTCTGAAACCAAGGGAACGGATACCATCACGTAAAATGGTTCTGAGGAATAACCCAGCTCATACACGTAAAGCTATGGTGCCCGATGCACAGGAAGTGCTGAAGAAGGTTGTTGCTACTATTACCAGCTGTTGTGGGTTCGCTGTAGAATGGTGCTTTAGTCATAATAATCAAGGACGTGCTTCTACGTGTGAGAGAACAATCTGAGCCTCCATTTGCTGGAAAATTCTCCTTATTGTGAGGAGTAAACAGAGACTTCCTTGGGTATGGACTTCCCCAGAAGCCTGTGACTCTCCTGAAGCACTTTCCATGGGCACTCTTGGTGAACTTGGGTCTTTCACTGACTTCCCATCCTTGGCACCTCAGTGCCCCAAACCTCTCCTCATCACTAAACTGCCAAGCCCTTGCTCTGTTTACCCAAACTTCACTCAGCCTTCAACACTCATTGAGTCAGGCTTCTTACTCTCTGCACCCTACACCATGGAGATTATAATGTGCATAATTTGACATTAAATCTTAAATCTTATTCTCTTGCCCTTCTCTCATATGACTATCTGATGTCCCTAAAAAATGCCTTCAAGTGTGGATTCAGTATCCCCTGTTGTAGTGTCCAATATCTTTATTAAATGTGCAAATTTAGCCTCGCATTTACCCAATTAATGCACACTAATTCTTAAATGTGTGTTCAGAATTCTGGCATCTGTGCTCCAAATGAAGGAGTGCTAGTTTTTCAGGAGACAATCACAGAAGACTTCCAGACCAAGTTTGGTAGAGATAAAGAGCCCAGACTCATACAATGGCAGGAATCAATTGGGAAATCTGTGAAATAAGATGCCTTCCAGAGGTTTGTGTCACAATGCTCCTGTTTCCACAGAAACCACAGATTTCTCCTTACATCGCAGAACTGTGCTTTCACTTTCATATAACAGCTAAGAGGGAGAACATTTCAGGAAGAGACATGTGCAGTCTGCATTAGCTCTTAAGCTGTCTGAAGGTGTAAGAAGTCAGAGAACGGTCTCGGTTTAATCAGAACAAGTTTTTCATCACCTTCTCAAATAATTTGATGTACTTGGGTGGTTATGGGGACTCCAAGGACTTCAAAGTCTAGCATAACCTGATCAACTCTCCAAAAAGAGCCCTTACATACCTCTCAGACCAACTGCAAATAACTTTCCATTTATCTGAGCCTGGTGAACAATATCAAGTCACATTATATTCATGTGGGAAGCAATGGAGAGGCAGCTCTTTAGCTCTGAATTCAGAAGTTGGTCAGAAGTCTAATATTTTCAAAACCAGTATCATTTTGAGAAAGTGAAGAAAATTGCATTTTTCTATCTTTCAAAAGAATCTAAGAGTATCTTTTATTGGTTTTTTTTTTAAGGTACTTGGGCAGCTGATATGATGTTAAAAGAGCACACCAAGGGCAGGAGAGCTTAGGCTCTTACTAGCTTTTCTCCAGTAACGATTAAAACAGGATAAATATGTATATGAGTATATACAATTAAAAAAGAAGACGATAGTGTAAAGACATATTTCACATAAGCAGGGGTGAGGGATTTATTAATCCATGCACATATCCATTAATTCGTTAAAAATATGTCACAGAGAAACCATTTCTAACCTTTACGAGGTTAGAAAATAGCATAAACAAGACAAACACCCTCCCTGACCTCATAGAGCTAAAAATTCTGCAAAAGAAGTTAATCTCTTGGTCTTATTCGTTGTCCAGGAACTGAAGAAAGCAAGATCTGCCACAGGAATGAGAACATGGCTGGGGAAAAGGCAGAGCTGTTGTCTTCTCTTAGACACTTTCACTTTTGTGTGAGCTGTTCTATATCACTTAGAAAAATGGGAACTTCTCCAGGGTGAGTTCTACCCATTTCCGTACTGCCTGAGCACCGGGCACATTCCATCTTGTAAGCTGCAAACACTTACGCATGTAAAGGAATTTTAATGCTATAGTTGGAGTATTTAGTATAGTAGATATTCAGCTAGCACTTCAAATACAACACCGTGTTCTCTTCTGTCTCTGTTAAATTCATATCATTTGTACAGTTTGCACCACTCATGCATGCCAGAATCCTCAGAGCTCCGGCTGCCATACTGGCCATTGAGTTCCCATTTCTTTTGAGAGTCTTCCCTCCCCTGGCCCCATGTGACTCCTTCCGGCTCCACCAGATCATCTGTAACTCCGCAACTTAACTGTCTGGGCGCTTCCAATTACTTGACAGCTCTCCATCCAGGTAGGTGACCCTGTTCAGTTGAGCGCACATTCACACAATCCAGTGCAGTTTAACTAATGTGTGAGCAATGACCACACACTTGACACAGTCACACCTCAGTCTGGAACCTTCTGGAGCATTGCCCGCAGTGACCTGATGGGTCTGATCTGAACTTCTTTATTAGAAATCTTCTCCTGTGTGATGTATAATCTCACTTTCAGCATTTCTAAAATGAGCCTCATCATTTTACTTAAAAGATAAGAACCTACGTACTTCTTACTTTGTTTAATATAATGTTTAACACAATTTATATAATAAGCCAACAATATATAAATCAATGCACTGTGCTCAGCTCTATTATCAAAAACTTCCTTCAATCTGTTAATTTTATTCCATACACAACTTGCTTCCAGTCACAAATATTCTAAACTTGCCTTATCATTTCTTTTTTTTTTTTTGCCTCATCATTCCTAAAATCTTATCCACTCTAAGCTACACAGCACATATCCCTAGATTACAAAAATCAGTCAATTTAATGGCACTCAACTCCCACAAATGCAAGCACAGGTAACTTTATTTGGGGGATTATAGCTGGCAACGTAATATCTTCACTATCGTTGTTTCATTTGTACCACAGCTATACACATGCTCTACTTTCTAGGGAAACTAGAGTTCTTCTGATTGTTATGGGATTTTGTGATTCTGAATGTTTCTTCAACTAGTCTTTCCTTTGTCTGCTTACCCATATTAATGTTATGAGCTATGGTGAAAAATAAAATTTAAAAGAGAAACAAATGGAAATGACAATCTTTGGAAATATACAGACTCAATCTATATCTTTTATCCACTGCTTTACATGCTACTTAATCATTGAAAAACTGATTAAAATTGTGAGACTGCTCTAAGATGAAAATTCTGCATCTTCAGAATGATTGTAATATCTATTCTGTGCTTTAGAGTTAAAAAGGTGGCTACTACGTAGCATAATTTTATTGAAATAAATGTAAGTGTAAAAATGCACAATGAATGCTGGGTGTTAATGATTCTGGAAGTTAGATTATTAATGAAAAGTCTATGAGGACCTAGGAAGAAATTTACCCATTCAGTACATGCTTGTGATTCTAAGAGAGAATTTGCATAAAAAGAAAAAAAAATGATTGTATATATCTATTCATTTTCATTGTGATGATAAATGTACAAGTCAATTGGGGGATTAATCAAACTCCATATCTCCACCTCCATACAGTTTTCACTAGATGGGAAATGATCACCAAAGTATCCTGGGCTATTTTGCTACTGGAAACCTGTTTCTCTCTCCTCTATTGGACATCACTCCGTACATTTTCTGTGGGTCTGGGATTCTAAGTCAAACTCCTGGCTGATAACAGAAATGTTTAGATGGGGGCCTGTAGGAGAGAGATAGTCTATAACTTTTAGATTCTCATGCATTAATTCTGCCAAGGCACTAAATGTACATTCCTTAGCTCCCTCTCATGAGTTCTTTAAAATGCTTAGAGACTATTTATGCCACCCCCAAAACACAACCCAACAAAAGTAGTTCCCTCAGAATTCATGATATTGGAAATTTAGTAAGTAATAGTACCTAACCACTGACCATTCAACAACGAGTTTAGAAGCTGCAATAGCTTAAAGGAGATTCAGTGAATTATGTCCCCATACACAACTATGTACTACCAAGCATAACTTCAGAATGACCTCCTTCAGTTGAATAACTAAATAAAAAAGAAGTACCTAGAAACATTTGACAACATAAAATTGTAGCTAGTTTTTAAAGAATAATCTCCCTTAAAGACCATTTACTACAGAAAGTGAAAGAAATTTTGGCATCATTATTTGATTCTCAAAATTAACACACACACACACACACACACACACACACACGCACACAGACACAGAATTGAAGACGCTCATATTTTCCCAGCTCATCCAATGTCTCTTTCTCTTTCTGGATTTAAAAATTTCTGCTTTGTACCCTTTTTAAAATTTTGAAAATATGTGAAAATTTTACTAACAAACTTCTATAATTTCCATTAACGTCTGGTGGAAAGAAAAGCAGAAAAATAGGGTTACTCTTGAATCTACACCCAGCTTCTCAATCATATTAATATTGTATATTAGTTTATATGTGGGAAAATAATAAATATTATTTAAAAAATGCTGCAGTGAAGGGCCTGGGACTTAGCTCAGTGTTGCCGCCGCCTGCCTTGCAAGCGCAGAGACCTGAGTTGATCCCCGGTACCAAAAAATAAAATAAAAAAATAAAACATAACTAACTAAATAAATAATACTGCAGTGATTAAAAATAAATTTATAAGGTAGTCTTGTGGCAATAAAAGAGCCTCCTTTCCCAGCCATGATTAATATGAGGCATTTATGCCTTACACAGTGAAAATATCTTGATGCAGAATACTCTTTTTGAGACTCAAATAAGTTCCTTAACTTTCCAAATCCGTGCCTCGCTCACTTTCCTTTTAGGGACTGAAGCACATGCAAAGCATCGTCTGCTTGTATAATACCTCATGCTCGTCCGCTGTCCACTTCTCTCTATTTTAAATGTTCAGAGGCCAAAAAGTATATTTTTTAAACTTTTTCTTTTTTTTTTTTTTTTTGCGATACGAGTGATCGAACTCAGGACCTTGCACTTGCAAGGCAGGCGCGGTGTCGCTAAGCTAAATCCCGGACCCCTAAACTCTCTCTCTTTTTTTTTTTTTTTTTTAATGCAGGGTCTCACTCTGCAGTTCAAGCTGGGCTTGAACTCACTATGTAGTAGCCCAGGATGGCCTGGAATTTGCAGCAATCCTGCCTCGGCCTCCTGGGTGCTGAGATTACAGGTGTGTGCCAGCAGGCCATCCTTGGAAAATATTTTTGTGCTCAATTATCAGCTGGATTGTTGTTAATTCTCCTTGCAGCAGAATAGAAGACAAATGCTGGAAAAGTTGGGGCTCCAATAGCACCTGTGGGTTGGAGCGAGGAATTGATTTCACTTTCCCAATTCTGCTTCTCTCGTCCTGAGAGCGGACGAGTACGTGCTTCGTCCTCCTTCTGAGCTCCAGGTAGCGCCGACTTTCAGCAGCGTGTCCTCTCCTTTTGTCCAACAATCGGCGGACACATCTGTGTACGAAGCTCCCTTCTGTGTGGAGCTCTGACGCGGCTCTTACGTGCCTGACCGGAGGGGCGGCTGGCACGCGTGAGGAGTGCGCGGCTGCCTCAGGCGGCGAGGATCTGAGCTGGGCCCTTCAGGAGCCTCTGCGGGGCACTGTGAGGCGTCCGGACCACCGCCTGCCGCCGCTGTGAGCCCCAGAGGGCTCCGAGTCCGCACCCTGGAGCCGCCCTCTAGGGCGCGGCGTCTTTCGGGGTCGCCTGGACGCTGCATTTCCTCCGTGCCCACGGTCTGGCCTTGGCGGGGCCCGCAGAGCCCCACGGAGCTCGAAGGGTGTGGACGAGGGTGACGCCCGTGCCTTCGAGGAAGCGTCTCTGCCCAAAGCGGGTCTGGTTTCGGCGGAGATGCCGTGTTTTTGGTGAGCAGCATCGCCGGCCTGACCCACTTGGTCGCGTTACTCTGCTAGGATGTGGGGCATTATGTCAGGACCCGCGGCCAGAGGAACAAGGAGGCACGCGACTGCCCTGGCGTCTTGGGAGACGCGAGCTGGATCTTACAGCACCAAGCTTCTGCCCCCGCCCAGAATACGGCATAGTTCTCCGGGGGAAGGGGCGGTCAACAGACTCCAAGGAACCCCGAGGTAACATTCTGGAGAAAGTGACCCCAGTCAGTATTGAATTTTGAGCTCCAACTCCCTGTCGAGGCAGCTCCTGTTTCCATTCCTCCTCTGACTCCCAGAGATGGCAGTTGTTTGGTGCCCCGGCCAGCAGGGCTTGTAATTAGCAGAGCTCCAGAAGGGGAGATACCTGGAAATGGGACAAAAGAGGCGCAGAGAGAAGGAGACCAAGCAGAGGCTTGTCAAGGTCTCGTTTATTTGCAGACACAAGTAGTATAGAAAGGCAAAAACCACAAAATTGTAAGAGGAAGTAGCTAACCACAAGATGATAAAGAGGAACATATTGTATAATAACAATCACGATGGGATACAGTTGCTATGTAACAGATTAGGTCATTTGTTGAGCAAGGCCGCTACTACAGGCAACGGCATGTCTTTGCTTGTGGGGTAACAGACAGGTCAATATGGAGGTGGTTATGCTAGGCCCCAAATAATTTAAGAGGATGCTTTTTGGTTTCCTACAGTTTGGGGTAAATCACAGTGTCGCCTATGCTCCAGCCAAATGTGCAAGAGCACCTTCGAAGATTTAAAAAAGACCTTACGTATAAAATGCTCTGTCAACCTGGGTCTTGCCTCTTCAGTTCATGTATAGAACCAGAACAAATTTCCCTTGCAGTTGCCTGTGGAAGACGGTCTCCAAATCTATGTCTGGGATTGCTAAATAAATTTCAAAGAATAGATTTTTTTTCCCCTGACCTGATTTGAATGTCTAGACACTTGTGGATTATTGCATCTAAACCATCTGCAACATCAAGCCAATGTTTTCCCAAGGTAAATTTAGCCTGCAGATTCAGAATGAAATCAGGAATTGTAAAATCAGAGCTTCTGTGCTGGCTTGTCAGGGGAGAACTAGAAAATGCAAGAAAGAGAAATGATTGGGGAAAAACAGAAGCCTTCCAACTTGTTCGAGTAAGAGAGGAGACACTGACAATCAGAGAGCAGTTACTGACCAATTTAAGGGTTGATCTTAGCATAAGAAGGCACAAAGGTTTAACAGTAGAATCAGAGAAAGTTAACGTAATTGGGGAAGGGTGAACTACCTCCATTCTCAGATAATGAACATTTACATGAAAGCATGTCTCACATTCACAGGTTCTTACCAACTTTGCTT